GTCGTTTTTGAAGTAATGGGAATACAGCAGTCTTCTTTCATTCATCTTGTAGAGCAATGCTTTATTAAGCAGTTGTGCATGGTAATGAATATGTCGGTTATTTGCAGATTACTTGCTCAGCAATAACCATGTTAATTCAATCATCACATATCATTTTAATTTTGAAAATGAGGAGATCATGGCCTATTATATATCCTTTCTGAAAACGCTTTCCTTCAAGCTTAATGCGTGTACAATACATTTCTTTTTCAATGAGGTTCGTCTGTTTTTTATTATAAGTCCTTTATCCTGACTATGGTTCATTTCATACTCGTATCCAGTGATTTTATAGCCTAATCAGGACTTTCCATTGTACACAGAAGTCATCAAATTTCGAAATCATTGTGAAGCTATGGTACGCATTGCGGTACGAACTACCACACTGAACATATACAGAGGTATTCATCACTTTTTGCACAGTTCTTTATTCAAAACCATGAGGCCAATAAAACTTTAGTGCAGTTATTTTGTTCGTATTTCAAGTGGAAGACGAAGCAATGCGAAGCTTTGTTCGTGCTCACTCCCGGGTTTACTTTTGTGCGTTGAGCGATTTTATTGCTAGACAGTCGATTGAAATCGATCATTTCGCTCGGTCAGCTGAAAATGAATCCAGCAATCGCAAAAGACTTGATGCTATGATTGATGATTACCTTGATTATATGCATTACCTCAACGATATTTTGCTTGTGAAAGTTGGTTTTTATCTCTTTGCGATTCTTTTTTTATGTTCGTTTTTATCACTTTTTAGAAATAAAAGTCGCTCTACTTTTATGCATAACAACCACATTCATTTTATTTAACAGTGGGTTTTTTTTCAAAATGTACTGCAAATTTGAGAATTTGTATTTTTTAGGATGAAAAACTTTCTGCTGTGCTTATCGAAGTGGTTTTTGAAAGACTACTGGGGTCACTCTATCTTTCATCTCTTGGCAATATTCGTTTCCATCCCACCGCTGCTATTTTAACACCAGTTTCTACTCTTTTCTTCCTTGCTCAATTTCTGCTGATTGTCGATGATTTTCAGGTGTGTTAAATAATGAGATCTTTATAAAATTATATTTTGTAGCGCATTCGATACTGGAGTGGTTGCTTATCTGTTTCGTGATTCATGAGATCAGCATAGCGTCCTCAAGTAGTTTAAATGCATTCGTATACTGAGCTTAGCCCTAATATGCCTTTTCTATGCAACGTCATCCTATCCTATTCAGGCAGTGGTTGGTTTTTTTTTTTTTTTTTGAATTTTTTCATATTTATGCATAAATTTCTCTGTTTTACATTTTGAAAGGTAACTTAGTTTGTAGGCGGTACAAACACTTTTGTCGTCGTTCTTTTTCGGTGATGGTTCGGATGTGGAGTATCAGTGGATTCGTAATGAAAAAGCAACGTGGATTCTTACGAATATGAAGGCTAGAGACATTGAACCAAGGTTGATTTCCAGGTGTACTTGCATATTTGAAATTGTGTATATAGAATATTTTGAACTTTCCTTAGCTTAATCTCAGATTGACAAATTCCAGGGCATTTTTTAACGGTTATGTGAATGCGCTGATTTGTTCGAAACATGATCATTCGGCTTTTTATGGACTTATTTTCATTTATGCCCTTTGTCAGAACAAAGGTATTATTGTTTTGCTATACGCCGTTACCATATTCAAAGCGATTTCTTGTTGATAGTTCTATCAATCTGGATTGAATTTCTTTGAAGTTTTTAAATGCGAAACATTGGAATCTTTCTTTCTGTTTTTGTGGTATTAAGCTTCATCATACAATTAAACAATTCATTTTAAAGCATTTCAGGAGCAAGAAGAGAAATTTTGGAAGCTGTACAGTTCACTTCCGATATCGTTGATCCTTCCGGTCATAATTTCCTGAACGGATTGCTGGATATCATTACCAGAAGTGCTGAAAAAGGTGTTAATATATTTTCAATTGTTCAGCAACTGTTATTTCCATTATTAGTTTATTACTCGACCATTGAAGTACGGTTGCAAATTTTCAGACGCGTTTATCCGTACAATAACAGTTGAATTATGCTGTATTGTCTTAAGGCAGCTCTTGTTGGTCATGGATGCATCTGTAGATGCGCAAGTAGAATGTGAAAGAAGAGCCGAAAAAGTTATAGCAAATCTTGTTAGCCTGCTCACACCATATGTTTACTCGGAAGAATTGTTTTTGGAAATGTTTGAAGATGAGTTCTATAATTTTGAGGTCAGTTCCAGCATTTTCATCATTTTAAAAAATATGTCAGCATATTATTCTTGATCTGATGGTTACTTCATTTTTAGCGGAATAAAATCCAAATTGGAAGTATCAGTACTGATCCATCACTTTTGCTCCCTCCTCTTAATACACCACTGAATGGTGTGTCGCTTAATAAGCGCCTTCCATGCGGCAATGAGGAACGAATTCGAAAGGTGAAAATTTTTTTTGTTTCCAATTTCTGTTTAAGGGCATTATATCTCTAGTTTAATTTTATGCTTGATAATTATATGGACATAAACAAAATACAGAGCACAGTAATTTTTGTAAGACATAGTAGAAAGGTTGCAAAGTTAGTCCTTTTTTTTTCCAGAATATCCAGCTGTTTTTCCATTTGAGGCACTTTGCGTTAGATCTGCGTGATGAGGAAGAAATGCGTTTACCGATATCATCTAAAACTGATGTGTTTGTTGAAATAAACGATTGTATTAACCTCGGTTGGTTCGTCAAGTTTTCTTTTTATCATAAAGAAGGACAGAGTCTCCATTTTTATAGCAGTGTTCTTTTTCTTTTGCTTTAAGTCCTTTTAACGTGAGTAAAAAAAAAATTTCCCATTTACCAGTGTATTTTCTGATTTAATTTTACTTTTTACATTTTATGCTGCATTATTTGTTGTAGAAAACAGTGATTTGCTTGCTTGTACGGTTGTTACGAATGAGAAGAGTGAAAAAGTCCATCGATTCCTTGTTACGGATCAAGCGCAGTTGATATTGGTAGAGCCAGATAACAAGCGTATGGGATGGGCCGTTGTCCGTTTTGTTGGTCTTTTACAAGTGAGTTTTATGCTGCCTTAAAGAAAATTATGCGGATACACTTTTTCTTCGGTCAGTGAATATATTGTCCTAGGACACTCAATTAACGGGTGACCTTGGAGATGGTCGTGCTCTTCATATCATTGTTAATGATGCAAGCAATCGTTCAGAAATAAACGATACGGTTTACTTTAATGCAAAGTTTTTATTTGATGATCATATCCGATGTATGGCTGCGAAACAACGCCTTACCAAGGTTTGTGAAAATATTCGTCTTCTTCCTTCCATCCATCGGAATTGAAGCGTTAAATATTTTTTTCAGACAGTGGTGATGAGGTAATGTGCCCTTTAGATGCAAGCCTCCGTGTTTCTTTGCTCAATGTGAAATCTCAATATATTGAAAGTTTTTTTCAATACTAACGTTGATAAAACTGAAGGAAATAACCACCACTGGAAGAAATGAAAAAATGAAACTCATATAGGTTAAGTTAACCTTTATGGAAAAACAATGTTCTAGGGTAGACAGATGGCAAGGCAGTGTAAACTGGATCAGATTTGTGATTTGTTCGGAATCGCACGCAAGGCTTCTACATGGCGAAATAATAAGAATCCATTTCGGATAGTTAAAGGTTGTCCACCCGGATCATTACGAAGACAACCACAAGTAAACAGTCCATGTAGCAGCGGATCATCCAGTGCTTCATTAAATATTGTTCCAGATGATCCTGAACACGGTCCAGGTCCTTCAGCAAATAAAGATTGGAAAGTAGAAGATATGTAAATCCAAGATTGTGTAAATGTTATCATGTTAATTGTACATCAGTGCTATTTATTTTATTATTATTTTGCGTTCTTTATTTGGCAAGGTGTGTCATTTATGTTGGTAAGGTCCATAACAACTTATTACTTAGTTTTCATATGAAATTTATACGGTGTCCATAGTTTCTTCATATGAATTTATATTTATGAGAAATGTTTTTCAGAGAAATTAGCTTGGCAACATCTAAATCCATTTCGATGGATTTCAGTTACAAGTTGTTTATAATAATATTGTTTAGATTGTAATTTGTTTTGTGCATTAGTTCGGACTTGAACCATATGTCAGTTTTTGAATGAAATGATTAACATTCCTTTTCATATTTACTGATTTCTACGTGAGAAAATGCATTGCATTAATATATCTACCTCCATCGTATTTTTCGTTTAATTTCTTGTTAATTTTTTTAAATAAAAATTTTCAGCAGTTTTTATGGCCTTTTAATCAAGGTTAATGACAGGATGTGGACTTAATTTATCATTATTATTGTAGGAAGGTTTTGCAAATGGTTCCTGATTGTTGAAATGGTAGGGCGAAATGATGAAAATAGCTTTACAGGTGTGTGCTATGTCCAATGATGGACCTACTGACATCCAGCCAAGAATTAACAGTTCGATGATTTGTCGCCGGAATCGTAGTTTGGATCGTGATACTACTGAGAAACTAACTAAATTGACGGTTGCCAGAAATTATTCGCCGCTCAAAAGTTTGGAAGAGAGGAAAGCTCGAGTAAGAAATATGAAAATAGCTCGAGGGCATCAGATGTTCAAAAACATCGAATCAGCGCTGAGTGATGGTAATGCGAAAAGGAAGGTGCTTGAGCAAGGGAAGAAGGGAGGGCAACCTATGAATAGACTGCAAGCCAGGAGAATGATACTGCAAAGTGAGTTCACCAGTTCAGAGGTACAAAAACCTCTGGGTTTCTCTGTGATAACTGCGGATGAACTCATTACTCTGTTCGACCTTGCTGTTAATGACCGTTGTTCGATGCACGACAAATTTGGTAAGACTTTTTAATTACTATTTAGTAAAGTATTAAGTATTTAAGTAAACTCATAATGCGTTTTGTATCTTAGGAAGGCCAGGTGATACTTCTTTTTTATGCGAGGGTATTTTTCTGTCTCATCATGTCACAGTACTGAAATACTATAGGTTTACTGGATTCTTTTAAGATTAAACGCTATCTTTCTCCGCCTTGATTTCTGTATTTTGAAAATCGATAATAAATATAAAAATCGCATCAATGCCAAGAATATTATTCCAATGAAATTACTTGTTTTTATTTAAATGAGAACTGTAAGAAATGATTGGAACTTCTGTTCTAGAAGCTACAATAAATGATGGAAATTTATGCCTCAATGATGAAGATTGGAATCGCTTTGCTTGTCACGTCGCAAGTATTGCAGTACGGGAGGTCAGAGGATTTGCAGTAACCGCTGCCATTATGGCTGTCAGTAAGTTATAAATTTTGTATATTAAGTGATTCAGTGCTGTTTCAGAAATTTAGCTTGGTTAAGGTAAATGTGGAACAATGCTGGGAATGTAGAAAGGGTATGAAATAATCCTTATGTTATGATGTTAAATGTGATGTCTTTATTTTTATTAACATTTGTTTAGATGCAAAAAAAGCTCAATCAATAGAAAGAGGTTTTTTAGAGACAAAGTAATTAAGCCTTGATGGAATGGTGAGGAATGTTTTCTTGTTCTAAAACTGTTGGGTGAATTCTTGTTTCCGATAATTTCAGGACAAAAGGGCTTTCGTTCAGCTTTTGCGCAAGAAATCAATGTTTTAATGTCAAATTATGTCTTATTTGGAGGAAAAGCTGAGCAAGGACTACCGGAACTTGTGGCACATCTTTTGATCGCTAATTGGCCTCGCGAACATGCGCGATGTGATCTGGAATCAAATGATATTTTATTCTGTATCATTTCATCAATTAAGGGATGGCTGGAAACAATAATTGGCGAGGTGTATTTTGAAAACTTCTCCTCCAATTTAATTTATACCATGTATAAAAGCTACTTAATAGGGCAGTATTTTCATAAATCGAAACAACTGCAGGCAGATGAGATTGAAGAGGTTGAATCGAACTGTGCTTGTGCATTGTATGAGGTGTGTCGTTTCGCGCAACGAAAACTTTGGATGAAGTGGCCAGAATTAGTAGATGAATGTTATGCTGCCGTAAGAGATGGTATAACCTTAAATATCACATTAACCAAGTGAGTTTAGACAAGAAGTTGAAACTGCGAATTTAGCACCTGCTGCTGTAAGAGTTAATTTAATACGACGGTTGTTTTATTCTTTCGAAAAACAGTGGAGTTTGTCTTGACACATTTTTTATTAATTAACCAGATAAAAATCAAATTTTTACAAACCCAGTGCTACTAGCTATTTTAGAAAGTTATTATCTGGTCTTGACAGTTACACGATCCGTTTAGCTTATTGACTCGAACACTAATGAATGATAATAAGCCAGAATACATCTGACACGCAGTATACTTCACGAAGTATACTTTTACAATGTAGCACTCTTGCATTGCGCAGTCGAATAATAATCAAAGGGTCATCAGTAAATAATTAACTATCAAATATTAATTGCAGGGAAGCACGGAAAGCATTGTTAGATACCATGATTATGATGCACGAGTGGACTAGTCGGCATGCAAAAACATTGGTTAATGTCAGCACTCAAACTTGTAGAACTCGGGTTTAGTTTGTTTTCTCTATGCATTGTAATTCGTTACCTCGAATGGGAAATATTTGCAAATTATTCGACAGGCAGCGATGGCATTGATAGCTCACTATTGGTTGTATTTTCATGGAGTCACTAATAATTTACCTCATAATTTTGTACTTCTTGCTTAGAAGAATCAATTAATTATACGTGTATGATTCAGAATGGGCGTATTATTTGAGTTTCTTACTCTCTTTTGTTCCTTACTTTCTGATATTTCGATATTACATGACACATACACACAGCCATGAAGGTGATGGATGTGGAAACACATTATTTATCTTCGGTGGTTGCCGGTATCGCAGTCTCTATAAGCTTTAGAAAGAAGGGCATTAAAATGCTTTTCTCAATTAAAATCGAAATGCACCTCTGCCAACGTTTATTGATGGGATAAATCGATGGAGATAGTAAATTTGTGCAAAATAGACTCTCATGTTACATTCGTCATCAAACTGGCTTGAGCGCCCTTTATTTCCAAAATTTTATCGTCTGTGCAACAGATCACTCACTGTTTCCATTTCATCTTCTCTTTATAATTTCCTAAGGAGCAGTAATAGTGCTTTACTGATCCTTCATTCCTTTTTCAGCATTTTCGACCGTACATTTCATATGTATATATCTCTGTGGTACGTTGCAAATATCGTGTCTGTTGTTGTATGCGTGTTACACAAAATGATTGCATTTTACTTTCGCTCCGATGATACAGTTTTTGTGTTGCAAATTGTAATGTTCTTTCTGTCTGTTTTATCTGTACATATTTCAGTCGTTGATTATTTAGTTTTGTTTTTCCCCAACTGCGCTGATTGCATTTTATTTTCCCCTCTACCCTTTCCCATCCTTCAAAAAATATTTTGTGCGTATTGCTGTAGTTAGTATTTCGATAAAGGATTTATTTGCAGGACTAGAGAACGTCAAAAGTAATAGGTGGAAGAGGTGAGTGGTAACCGTGACAGCACGGGTCATCACACATCTCTTCATCTTTGGATCTGATCAACCCCCTTACTCCCTTTTCACGTGAACAGTAGATACATGCACGATCCGTGCTACCATTCAGATGCCTTCCGGCTTCAGACAAACAGGTCCACTATACCAGGCAAGTGGGCGTGTAAGGCGCACGATAACAATGAGCGCAGACGTCGTGTCATCACCATACACCTAATTCTATGTTATTTTCTCTTTCTGTGCGGAGGTGAAAAAGAGAGACAGGACGTCTGGATCGATTATGTATCAGATGGAGAGAGACGGAGAAGAGGACTGTCTAGACGGAGGAGGGGCAATTGACAATGAGTTGCTGTCTGTCTGTGTGTCGCTGTAGGACATCTCAGGGGACGATCTTCTATGTTGTGGCAAAAGCCAATAGATCACTGCTTGGTGTGTATCAGTCTGTGCGGGAGTCTGTCTATGTGGCTGAGGTGGTGAGCTATGGTACTTTCTGAGTTGGTGCATTTCCTGAGGCGACGAGTTCGCGCGCCTGAACCTGAATCCGAGCACTGCTTACTAGATAGTGAGCCTACTTGTTGCTCAACCGCCAGATTGCCATCACCACAACGACAACACATCGATGCTTTGTTAGTAAGTTTCTTTAATCATTTTGATTGAATCACGGTAATCACTCACTTTCCATTGTCAGTTGTCATTCCACGCTCAGGATGACATCCTATTATGACTGCAGAGATTTCGCAGAGCTTCATTGTGATCGAGTGTATCACATTGTTGGGCGTCATTTCTGATCTGTTTCCCTCCATTCCTATTTGTGACACAGAGGAGGCAAGCCGTGTTTATGACTTTTACTCGGCAGTGCCATTGCCAACTGGTTTTGAGCTATGGGTGGAACCGGACCTCGATAACATTCCGTAATGACAAAGATTCCAACTTTTGTGGTCACTGCCGTGAGAAGTGATACACATGCATACCTATTGCACCCTTTGTTTTTTCCATGAACATATGTTTCCTCTCATTTTTATCCATGACAAGATAATCTATCAAAAATACCGCATTGAAGAGATGATGACCTACCTACCTGGAATTTACTATCCAAATTTGAGATCGATTTTGTCCATCGCAGTAGTGCACTGCCATTGATCGTTCAGTTTGATTATGTGGTCGTTGTTTTTCGCTCTTGCTCTATCTCGGCTAACTCATCAGCGTTGTAGATTTGTTCTGTATTGCTATCTTTTCTTTTGCAAGACAACCATCTCGAGATAGCTGACGAAATCTTGAAAATGGGACACCTGTCTCACATCTTGACCCACTATTATAGGAGAGAAAGCAATGTAGTAATGGTTAGGTAGCCTGTATTGTCGTTTTTCACAAATCCTACCGAACTGAATTTGAAGCACATGTTTAAATGAGCACTGTAGGATGCTATTCAATTTTAGGGAGAAGTGCTGTAAAGGATAAGGTCCCTTCAATAAGACTGTATGGAATAAAGATTTGATATCCTGGTAGTTTGACGAACATTATGAAGTGATTGTGGCATCTCTTATGCCACTATCATGCATTGCTTATCACCAGGCGAGTTAGAGGATGGTCGTTTCTAATATCGTTATCACAGAATTTTTGTACCACGGAAAAGCCTTTAAACTCTTTCAAATGTCAGTTGTGGAGTTCCTTCTATTGAAGATTTGATTTTCTTATTGGATTAGAGATTTCGTTCTGCTATTAGTACGATATGCATACTCATAATTTTAAAAAAATCTTGTTGAATTTTCAGAAGCGATTGAAGAAGAAACTTGCTTGTGAACCTGAAGATCGTGCCAATGGAATAGATGACGAATGCTGTGTGTGTGTGCAGCGGCGTGCATCAGTTCGAGCCTTTCCTTGCAGTCACAAAGTGTTTTGTCGAAATTGTGCTGTCCAGTTAATTGAGGTTATTTACTATTTAAGATTTCGCAAACGATATGCAAGGATTGGATTTCTATGAATTTTAGATGCTTTTACTGTGAAAATTTATTACATGCTTGTATCATCGTTTTTCACACGAGCGCTGGTATTGAAGTATGCGATGTTCTACAAATTGTTTATTACGTCCTTTATGTATGCTCCGTCCTTTGGACGAATTTGACTGCTCTAACCAGTTTCGTTTTTCACAAAGAAAACTCGCACTGAAATGCTCATGTTCTTGCTATGTAAACTTTCAGACTACCCATCCTATAGACACAAAAGCTATTATTTCATCGACTGCCTTTGCTAGCAATCTTAATTATTTTAAATGAGCAATTCAGAAAGCTTATATTGTAGCAACTGAAATTTGCGGATGATTTCAATTACTAATAATTCAATTAGGTTAGCCTTCATTTTGGGTTGTATTTGAAAACAAAAATCCATTTACTTTCTGGGTTTGAACCTTTTCTGTATTGCCTGCTTTTAAAGAAAAAAGAACGTATTGACACTATGTATAACTCACTCAGTCTTTAGGTTATTCGAAATATATTTGAACAGAATATTGCGGATATGAAGTGCAAATTAATTATGTTGTCAGTACATAGAGATATCTGAAACTTTTTGTGATTGGAATATTGAATTTATAAATTTTTCATTTTAGTATGCAATCAACGAAAACAGAATGCGGATGAGCTGCATAATATGTCGCCGTGATATCGCAAGGTTGCAATATAGTCGACCATCACGGTCTGCACAAGTTCGCAAGCAACAGGCATTTCTTGTCGATAATGTCAGTAGGAATAGTACTGCTTCCACTGCTACTTTTACTACTGTTCGTGTTTTGAATGATACAATTTGGTGTAGTCCCGAAGTTTTCCCCAAATGTTCATGTCAAACTTTTCCTACGCCTGTTACTCTTTCTCAATAACTTTTTTTAGAAATATATTTTGTTTTATGGTGTTCAGATTTTCGTTTATTACTTTTGAAACAACCCATTCAATCTTTAGATTATTCGAAATGCGTTTGAACAGCATATTGCAGATGTGAAATGTAAATTAATTGTATTGTAATGCATAGGGGTGTTTGAAATTTCTCATGGTCGAAAGACTTGTACTTCAAAGTGGTCTTACTGCATCCGTAACAGTATAGTAGTAATAGTGAAGCCATTTGAACAAGCAGTTGGGATTTTATATTACTTCAGCATCCATCAAGTTCAAACAGACAACTTTTTCAAAGTCACGAATGCGAGTCTGTTAGTTTCTTTTTCGTTTTCTTCACTGATTTATGGAGACTTTCGAATTTGACTGGAATTTGTGGGATACATTCTCTTTCAAATATTCCTTCCATTTTTTCAGTAAAAACCCTAAATATATGAAGGAGTAACAGAAGGATTTCAAATTAATCGATAGACTAGGAATCTTGGCTTGTTTCAGTCGCAACGACAATGGTATTTTGATTGGTTTCTGTTATACACTGATTATATCCTGTATGTAAGTGTTGTTCCGTGCGTGTACCAAAGTCTTTCGTCGTATTTATGTGTAGTCATAATTTGAAATCAATGTTCACGAATATAGGTGGACGTGTGTAATGTGTGTACACATGTGCTCAACAGCCGGTAGTACTGCATAAATCAGCATCACTAATTTACTTTCGAATGAATGAAATGCAGAAATTTTGCTATGTTTTAAAACATGGCGACAACGGAAGCATTTCGCTAATGTTTACTAAAATTATAGAATAACAGAGGGGCATTTGTTGAAACGGTGAGTTCATCAGGGTATTGTTGCACAGACAAGTTGATGTTACTTTCAACATATTGGAAAAGGTATGTTCTGAAGTTGAAGTCACTTTGATCCTATAAGATAACCGGCGGGTAAAGGAGTGCAGTTGGAGTGTTGTGGAGTAATACAGTCCACAGTGAGATTAATGCTTCGTATTTGTTTTTTTTTTTTTTTTACAGATTTCAACACAGGAGGAAAAAGCTAGAACTGGTGCTGATCCAGTGGTCTAAAACAGTTTAAGACAGATGCTTTAAACTTTAGGAGGTTAGTAAGTAGGTTGTGTGTTCGGACTAAAATTTAGTTCGTAACAAATCCAGGAAACAAGAGGTCGGAGGAGTTCAACATTTCACCGGGTTCTCTGTAATCGAAAAGATGGGTCACATGAAGGACTTATAAGCGGTCTGCTTTAATGATCGTCCTTCAAGACACTCGGATTCCCAACAGAAATGCAATGGAATTTTCAAGTCGAGTGGTCGAAAGGGTTTTAAAATAGCTACAAGCGATTGGTGAATTTCACTGGTAAGAAAGCAAACTGAATCGGAAATTAAAGCAATGTTAATTTGTTGGGAACGGAATATTGGATCATTGTCGACATGGCATACAGAATTGAGTAAATTGCAGTGCAAAACGCCGTATATTACTGTATTAATTACGCACGACAATGGGAAGGATGGACTGTTCCACACTTTCTCTTATATCATGACATTGGTTGCTTCCTTCCGATTACTTGTAGCAGTTTCCTTGCATGTGTGGTACTGTCGTCATCATCGTTATGCTGCTTTCAGCAACACACCCGATCATGGGGGTAGACGCCACTGTTGAATTAGCAATATGAACAGGTTAGAATTGGGATCTAAATTGGTGTCAAGGTGGGTTTGTCCCGTAAAGATAGGTTATCCTCATTCACATCAATTGCGGAAATTTGTGATAACAAGGCCGCTACGTAGAACAGTAACACTGGGACGAGATGGCCGAGTGGTCTAAGGCGCTGGTTTTAGGCACCAGTCTCTTCGGAGACGTGGGTTCGAGTCCCACTCTCGTCAAAGTGTCAGAACATCAGTTTTTATCGCATAACATTGATGATACCCATTGGACCACAAAACGTGCAGTGCAGACGTGGTGAGGATGAGATAGGAGCTCAGTACTCTGATGCGCTGGTTTAAGGCTCTAGTCTCCTCGAAGGGGTTGGTTGGAATCCCTGTATCGTTAGGTGAGGGGCACGTCTTGTAAATTCATACACTGTTTTAAATTATCAAATGTTTGCAAAATTTATATCAGCTCATCAGAAGTGGCAGGGGAATTATGCAGCTTCCTCATGCCTAATTCCCAAATGCAACAGAATAGGGGGACTGTGTTGCACTTTGTGAAACAGTGAAATTAGTAATATTGATTCGAGTGTTTCAACTCACTGTTAGTCCTTTCGGAAGCAATCCTTCCGGATGTCTGTCTCTCATTATGAAAGGAAGTGTCTCTCATTCTGTTCATACCTGTGGACGTCACGTCACTAAGGCAATTGACAAAGAATACGAATGGGATATGATCAAGAGGAGGGCGGAACAGTAGCGTTTATGAGTTCGCACTGTAACTTCTGCCGATATTCTGATTTCATTTCGTATTCTAAAAGATAAGGTTTCCAGCTAACATTTTTTTCATTTCTTCGTTCGAGACCGAACATCAGCCAGTACTTCTCCGCCTCTTTGTTCCGTTTCTTTTCCAATCGTAAGTCTTGCATAGCGCATACATGCATTGGCGCAGTATGCAAACCTTATAATGAATGCAACTATTAGTTCTGTAATAAGCTCAGTGCGTAACAGTATAATTCGACGATGGGCGCCAACACACAAATACGATCTGTGACCGTCCAGCTAGCTATCATTGACTCTCTCCATTCGCAGCCTTCATCATGACCATGTTAACATCCTCTCCATCCTCTTGACCTCTGATCCCACTCCGTACTGCACTAGCCACCGCATTGTGCGGCAGCTCCTTTCAGTGAAATAGTTTTGATTGCAGTCAACTTGAAAATCGCGCGATCCTTTCCCTGCAGAATTGTATGTCCACCCGAAGTGCATATGCACAACTGCACTGCATTACACTATTTATTGGGACTACTTCGTTTATATTGCAGCACGACATTAACGACAAAATGGCACTAAGCCAACAGATGCAGTATTATCGCAGAGCAGACTGTTGCCTCTGTATGGAAGCAGTAACGGTATAGCCTAACATCTAGCAGCTGCATTGTCGCTGTGTCGCGCATTTGCAGCATAGTGCCCCGCCTTTTCATTCCTACCAAAAGCACTTACTCATTTTGTTATAAGAATTCGAATGTTTGCTGTTCATCTTTATGCCTCAAAAATGTTTCAATTCGCTTCTTGTTAAGATTTTCAGAGTTAAAGATGAGTTGTTGCATATCCCGCTAGGAAATATCGCAGAGAAGGATATCTGGGAAGCCAGGTAGGACAACTCACTGTAGAGCGTAGCTTTCCAGATTGTTCCAGCAGAAGCATCTTCTTATCCTTCTACACACTGCATCTACCGCTGCTGTGCTACAGATCACCTACTCGAGAAAGTGCTACTTCCTGTTGATACCTGTTTTCTTTCAATCCATCTGTAGAACGTACTTTGCTGATTTTAATCATTCGGCATGTAGTGACATTGCTACACTTATACCAGTTAACCGCAGGGCGCGCTACCCTAGATTTCCCGCGTTTTTGGTATCTTTAGCATGCGGTGATTTTTCGCATGACACATATGTTATTCGCATCGGTTACAAGAGGAGATAGTTATCGGTTATCGAAGTTTTTACAAGTACTTATTGCATCTCATAGTACTGCTGCACTATCTCGCAAATCTGGAATTATGCAGTAGAGTGTACTGTGCTTTGATGTGGTATCGGTGCATATCATCGGGGTCGCAAAGATTTGTTTATTCGTCGTGCACTTCAAGGAACAATGCCTAAAGAAAGCATGATAAGTGTATGGCCGTTTCCAGAGCATACTGTGGTCGGTGGCACTATCATCGACACATACACACACATACACATAAAACAACATACTCATGTATACATAACATAACATAACATGACATACACGCCACAGAATAGACCAGGAGGAGCGGCGCATTGGGATGAATCGTAGTGGTGGTGGTGCTGGTGGTCGTCATCATCGTGGTCGTCACTGGCATTTTCATCATCCTCACGGTCATCATCACTGTTAACATCACAGCACGAGGTGTTTCAAGAAAATCGATAGTTTGTGCTTATGATATCGTTGTTATTATCGGGTTTGGTGATAAACTGTGCAGAGAAGCTTGAAAAAATCTAGTAGCGGTGGGTCGTGATAATGTCCTTTTAACCAGTCCTTGACCAATGATTCGAATGAAATTTCGTTTACTTACTGATTACTGCTGACATAAGTATTCCTAAACAGACATCCTTTTTATACTAACACGTCAGATGCAAAGGATATGTTTCGCATGTACCTTCCTTTTTTATATTTGTTCTTTCACTTTATCATACATGTGATTTCGTCATATTTAATTTTATTCACTTTTGGCGATAGGCGTTACTTTTAGAAGTGTACTTTTTCCTGCATCAGTCACTGACTTCGCAAACATTGCAAAGTCCAATTTCATGTAGTGTTTTAATTCACGTACGCTGGCACTGAAGGTTTTTGTATAATCGGGGATTAGACATTGCAGGAAAGTGCTCATTTGTAAATGTAACAGAAGAGCGCTAACGGTAGCAACAATGACTATGTTGTTTGATTCGCTATGACCAGTGGTGAGACTGCTACCGGTGATATTGTACAGTGTGAAGATTTCGATACTTCTTCTGGTGAACCACCGAGAATTGACCTTGAAAGACGCGCATTTAATTCTGGTCTGCAGGCGAACAGAACCTTACCATCAGAAAAGGTATTTTGTTATTTATTTGCACGATGTGGGATTATGAAGAGAAAGATAATTCTTGTCGCGACACACATCGTGATATTCGCAGCAAATTATTGATTTATCGCTTTACTTTTTATTACACCTCGACCGCACCACTGCGTTTTAAATTTGAGTCGTATTGTATGGTTTAAGCTTTAATCATTTAATGTTTTGTATGGACATGTAGAATTAATCCTTTTTTGTTACTTATTCTGTGAATTATTCCTTTCTTTTAAAATTCTTCTGTGTTGTAGCTACTTAAAAAAAGTTCAGCTGACGTGATCAAAACATTCGCAACAATCAATAAATCCGATACTACTTGTTCCTTTCCAATTGTTTATGAAAGGGAAAGGCTAAGCAGTAAGGTTATAGAAAAGGTTTGTTACGCGTTTTTGTATTGAACTTTCTGAAGTGAAAATCATCTGGTGTTGATTTTTCGTGATCCATCACTGTTATCTATTTTGATGATGACAATGCTAACGCGTATTATACATGTATGCTGTTCCCCTAATTATTTTCACACGAATTATTTTCTGCTTTGTGAGGGGTAATTTTTTTCATTTACATCAGGTTGATTTTCTTGTTTTTTTTTTTTTTTTTTGTCCAGCTTTGTTCTACAGTAATTTCAGATGGAGCTGGGGGAAATTGTTCAGACACATGTAACAACACCCCTAGTACCTGCATCAACTGCAATTGCGGGTTCCAGTCTGCCAATACCAGTCGCTAGTGAATTGTCTAATGTAAGCAGCACGGGTTCGGTATCTGATCGTGAGCCAGAAACTCATGATAAGGGTAATTACACTAAGGTTGCGAAATCTTTGGAGCAAAAGCCACTACGGAAGAGACGAAGAAATGATGGCTATCCACCCAAAAGTGATCGGAAGATTACTGAGTGTTTCAAGGTATTTTTTTATGGCTATCTACATGTTGCCCGTAACTGGTATTGTGGCTGAAACTGTTTTATGAAGATATGTTTTCCCACAAAACTTTTCGTCACTCAGAATTGTTTATAAGTCGTGTTGCTGATGCATGTCACATTAGATATGTCGATTTTTTTTTAACTTGCAATTTTCAGAATATGGCAGTTGGTTCCAGCCCGAAGCGTCAGATAAACTCTCACGCTAATGGCGACAGTTCAAGCAGTGACTACGTATGTTGGTTTCTCGTTCTCAAAAATGTTTTAAACTTGATTTAGAAGTGTACCATAATTCTTTTTCATGAAGCTTCTTGCTCATATTCTTTTAGCACTTTTTACAAATCTGTTTTTTACAAGAATAGTCGGTTATGGAGATAATCAAGTTTTCAGCAAATAAAATAAAGGTAGTTCCAAAAATAATGCATACTGAGCTCCGGTCTCATTCCTGAACAGCATTAGTCTCTCTTTTTTTTCTGTCTCACTTTTTTGGCACTGTCCTGTCCAAAGTCTTCGGTTTAACTGATAACTGTATGAATATTAAAACTAACACTTTATCACTTTTTGAATAGAGACTTACTTTTGTGGTCCATAGGAGTATCGTTGACACGTAATGCATATTAGTTCTGTGTTCAGGAATATTTTGTAAATCTTGTGGTGAAACCAAAGATCAGGCATGTTTGTTGGCTCTCTTGTCTTAGGTCGTTAACTCGTTTGTTTGAAATTTGTATGTATATATATATATATGCATGTTAATGTATAGTTTTTTATGCAAGACATATTTTTGAGCTTTTTTGAGTTACCAGCGTAAGTAGGTGCGAGATCTTAAGTATCGTTATGCAGTTTTCCATATGTAGATAGTATTTGTACTGCAAGCGCGTTATTTTTTCATAAAGTAGAAACATTGCTTTCAAATTCAGATCTGTATACAATGTTAACCGGAACTCAAACTTTATGCTCTAGAAAAATATAATTTAATTCATTATATATAAATATTTTTCAAGTGTGCAATTATTACATCTGTTTCTCCATCGACCAACACTCGGCCGAATATTCATCTGACCATTTTTAATTCGAGTGATTCAAGCCAAAGCCAAAGTCCACCCCAAACATTGATGTGCAGACCTCGAATGGATTCTCAGGTGTTTTTCTTTTTCTTGTAAAATAATCCCCAAATTTAGAATAACATCCACTAATTTTTTACAGACTAATTCTTCAACACTTTGTTCCTTTTTTCACAAACCACTTTATGTTTGTCTATTTTCTTTCCACTAAAGAATTTCTTTCAGGCGCAAACTGATGAATTATCCTTAATTGATGCAGCAGAAATGCGTTCTGAGCTTTCAAAGAAAGATAGTATAATTGAGGATATGAGGAGGACGATTGAAGAATTGAAGCAGCAGATCATCAAAAGAGATCGTTCCATGGACGCATGCAAAGAGACAATAAGAAAACTGCTGATTGATCAAAGTACTATGGAAAGAAAACAAGTACTTTTTTATTTTCCAATACAACCAGTACATTTTTTCAGTTAAAGGAAGTTTTACGATGTATTTCCTGTGCGGAAAAGTACATTATTGATACTGTATGCTTATTATGACAACATCTCGATATGCTGTGCTGTGTGTTGTTAACTGTTGGATTTCTTGTTTTTCAAATTAACACTGAGTAGATTATTTCGTAAGAGACTCGTGATTCATAAAACAAAAATATAACACGATTTCTACAGATTTATCGTCGATTTTGGTCATTTTTTCAAAATCGAAAATCGAAGAATTTTTGGTGTTCATACCATAAGGAACATTTTTTAGGCAAAAGCAAAATGCATGGAGGATTGCTTACGTATTGGACAGTTCAAGCCAACACGTCACCGAGAAGAGTTTCGTGAAATGTGGGCTGATGGTTGGGCATTTGAAGAAATTAATAAAGCACAGCAAAGGATTGCAAATGAAAGAAATGAGATAATTAATGCTTCGCAGAATCTTCGAAAAAGGAAACCAACCGGAAATGCTCGAGACTTGAAAAGGTATAAAACTAAGGAATTTTCTTTTTATTAAAAATTGTTTATTATTTCGATGACTGCATGGTGTTATCTTCAAATCCAGCCGCACCTTAAGCACTGAGTTTCAAATGAATTAAAAGGTTTATATTTTGTTTCCTACTTCCCCTACTACTTTCTTCATTTTGAAAAAAGAGAAGAAGGCATAGTTTGAAATTTGAAATTCCATTACAAGTTGAAGCCGAACATATAAGGGCTATAAATAATAAATAATTTGCATGTTTAAAAATATGACATTTGAAATCCGAGACCTTAACAGTGGATAATTTTTGAGAACGCTCACTTCCTCCTCTCCCTAAAGAGAAAAGGTATGTTGGCGAATTGAATTAATAGATTTTTTTCCATTATGCTTCGTTGTGTGAAATATTTCATCGATTGGTTTTTTCTTATTCAGAGCAATGTCGACTGGTTCGGATGGTATGATCCCATCCACATCAGCAGGACCAAGTTCTGTTTCACTTACCGACGAATTGTTCGCAAAACCAGAATTACCGAAAGAATTGACTTTGCAGGAATATTTGGAGCAAGAAGAAATTTATCGCTTACGTAAGGTAACTTAGTTATTTTTTGATCGTCCTTAATTGCGTTACCGTTTGACCCAAATAAAACATGCTTAAGGTAGGTTGGACCATTGAAGAGTCGCATCGTTTGAAGTATTTTTGTTTTTTTTTTTGGCACTTTCTTTTCTCGTAAAAGTAAGAGTTACAGTGGTTAATATACTTATACACATTATAAAATATTTTTGTTTTTTTGTTTCTCTTCTTTGCTTTGGAAACGCTTTATGCTCATTGAAGGAGCATCTTAAAAAAGAGGAGGCAGAACTAATCGCTGAACGTGATCGTTTGGAGAGAGAACGTAATTTGCATATTCGGGAATTAAAACGGGTTCAGTATGAAGAATCAAGTCGGTACAAAGACCACGAATTGCTCAATAGGCGCTATCTTCTACTTTCGCTTCTTGGAAAAGGTGGTTTCAGGTTGGTTTATTTTAGTTTTATCTGCTTTGATTTTTATAGGGTTCTCTGTTTTTGGCTACTTAAGTAAGCATTCTTCTCATTGTGGCGTAATTAATGTGTCATATGGCTATCATTCATGGAGCAGCAACGGCGCTTCGAATTATCTCGTTTCTACCATTATTATATTAGTAATGGAAATTTTATTGGATGTAGCTTATACTTATTTGTTCTACAGCGAGGTTTGGCGGGCTTTTGATCTGGATGAAAACAGGTATGTGGCATGCAAAATACATCATGTAAATAAAGAATGGAAAGAGGATAAAAAGGTTATTGTTCAGTTGATTTTTAAATTTTTCATGTATTGAATGTGGAACTTTTGATTTAAAAATATCTTTTTTTTTTAATGAATCGGATAAAATGGGTTGGTTATTTATTTTCACTGATTTTCTTGTGTGTTTGGAAATTTTTTTATTTTATTTTTGCACTTATTATTGTCAGTGAACGAATCAATTCAGGCAAATTATGTGAAACATGCTATGCGGGAAAAAGATATTCATAAGACATTGGATCACCCACGTATTGTACGTTTATTCGACTTGTTTACAATCGATAATCATTCTTTCTGTACTGTGTTGGAGTACTGTGATGGTAATGATCTCGATTTCTATCTGAAGCAAAATAAGCAAATCCCCGAAAAGGAAGCACGCTCTATTATTATGCAGGTTGTTAGTTTGCTCTTACAAAATTCTGAAATAGTAGGAACTTCGTTTGAGAACCACTCCATGTCGCTGTTTCATCAGGTATCTAACCTGTTACGATGGCAGTTTTACATGAAAGCAGTTATTTGGTGTTGGTGATGGGAAGCAGTCATTATCTATGTAATTAATGCTCCAAACTCATAGGGCACTGCAAGGAGGTGCGTTTTTATTTCAAAGAGCAACATAAGCTTTGACCACCTGGATTATTTTAGGTAGTGTCAGCACTTCGTTATTTATCAGAAAAGCGCCCACCGATAATTCATTACGATCTGAAGCCGGCAAATATCCTGCTGCAGTCAGGTACTACGAGTGGTGCAATAAAAATCACTGATTTTGGTTTGAGTAAAATAATGGAAGATGCTGATGATGGTGATTCTATTGAACTCACATCCCAGGGAGCTGGAACATACTGGTTAGTGATTTAGTATAATTTTTATTTTCATAACGGCCTTATCAAAGGGTCATATTCTTTCGCTTTTCCATTACTCCTCTTTCTGTTAGTCTGGTTTTTCGAATATATTAGGGAAAGCTTGTATCCTCCGTGATATCAAAACTTCCCCACTGATAAAAAAGGTGTGGTTATGCTTCCTTAACTTAATTGAATTTAGCTGCTAAAAACTAATTTCCCATTATATATGGACACATATCATTTGATCACAAACCAGTTTATTTGTTTTTAACATTTCTATTTCTATACTTCCAGGTATCTTCCTCCTGAAACTTTTGTTGTCGGTCACAATCCTCCGAAGATAAGCTCAAAGGTGGATGTTTGGAGTGTTGGTGTCATATTTTATCAATGCCTGTATGGTAGACGAGTAAGCTTTTCTTTTTTGTAAATCTATTTAGTATGTCAGTAACTTGTTTGAAACTTTCTGACAAGTCATTCCACACACTCATATGTACTTTTTATAGCCATTTGGACACGAACAAACTCAGCAGAAAATTCTGGAAGAAAACACTATTCTAAAAGCTACCGAAGTCACTTTTCCTCCCAAACCAGTAGTTAGCTCGGCAGCGCAGGTAAGGTTACCCCACGTTTTCTCGACAACAGGACACCCACTTCGCCTGACTTTCGATACTTATATAGTAGGAAGTTTTTACAGATGGAGATTTCTTTCAAATCCATTTTTTTGTCTTGGTACATTCTACTAATTTATAATATTGATAGCTTCCTTTTACTGAAAACCCGTCTATTCAAATTTTCGTATTCCATGCACCTAATCTTTTGATTTTTTTCTTTTTTCAGTGCTATAGTTCAGTTAAGATTGTTGTTGAATTTCGAAGATTTTCTCTTCAACATTTCCAGGATTTTATCCGTCGCTGTCTACAGTATCGAAAAGAAGAGCGGGCAGATGTTTTCGAGCTTGCGAAACACGAGCTTTTCCGTCCTCGTGGCCAAGTAAAATTTTTTAAAGCTTGTTTTTACTTGGAAAGGATCTTTTCTGTCCGTAAAAGTCATATTCGATGTTTTATATCACTTTATCAAAGCTATAGGGATATGGTTGCATGTCCTAATATCCCGAATACAAAAAAAATTTCGAATTTTCGAAATTTCGAATTGCATTTCTCGTGGCTGTTCATGATGAGCTTGCGAAAGCTTATTCATGATATTTATAATCTGATGGCTATTTATTGTTTTATACTCACTTTATCAAAAATTACGAAAGGTTTTTCAGAAATCTTCACAACCACCTTCTTCGCCATTGGCAAGATGTCTAAAGAGTGATGAGGCGGATTACTAAACAATACCGGTGAAGTTGTAAAGTTTGTTCGCGCTTCTAAAAGTTAAAAGTTTTGCTCCTCCATATCTTTTTGTAATTTTTTAATGCTGGTCATTACTGATGTTACAGTTGTCATATTGTCATTGCTGATTGCATCCAGTTGAGGTTAGTCTATCGTAATTATACAAATTCTCGATGTGCAACACGCTTTCTGCTGTTTTTCGCGTTCCTTTTGTATTTTTTGTTGCTAGTTTACCATTCCCACACTTTAAAATTACTTGTTTAGTCTGTATACATGGCCTTAACTCTTCTGGCTCCTTTATTTTTACTCGTTATGTTCATTATGATCTTTCCCACTCCCGTTAGCTGCTTGCATCTGAACAGCATTATCTGTTCACATTTTTGAGGATGGTGAATAGGTATATTGTCGATCATATAGGTTTTTTTTCCGCTCCCCATTTAAATTTCTTGTCTAACATGTCACAAATCGTCTTTCGATTACCCATAACATCTATAATAAATGAATGTATATATTTGATTTTGGGCTTTCAGGAGTTAGAGTCATGTATGCAATACGAACTGTCATCTTGTCGAGCAACTGATCAGTTGAGGCTGCTGCTTATTTTATTATCGTTATCCCGCGTTTTAAGGACATATGTTTGCAAACTGATCTTTTGTTGGTGTTTTTCCTTTTAAAATGTTGTCGGATTGAAAGGTTAAAGAAGTTGGAGTGGAAACATTTGTTGCCTATCCTACAAATCCACGGAATGTAATAATGTCAAACGGTGTTGAGTTCCTTGCTGACTCTTTTTTCTTTCCATTTCTAAAGTAGTAATAATAAGCTACTTGTTTAATTTCATGACAATTTTTATAGGCGCCAATCAAACTATCATAACTACAAAGTGGGGCAACTATAATATGTAAATGCTGAATCCCATTTGTCTGGTCAATTCATGAAGGATAGGTAACTTTTAGAATAGCAGAGCGGAATGATAAGAGACTAAATCGCATAATGTTGGACAGGATTAGTAAAAATTTCGGCAGTAAAGATTTCGGTATAAATACAAAGTCTATATATCATTTAATCAGTCCTAACGAAACGTGAGGCATACTCTGAATACTTATGATTTTAAAAAATGTGAGGAAATTGTTAACAGCCTACGCCGAGGTCTTGTCTTCTTCGGTTGTAATTTGCTGGATTGGTGATGCATAATGGCTGGTGATGGGCTCTCCCTGGCTCACTGATGATACTTCTGGGCTGTCTAGCTCGCAAAATACAATACATGAGTTTTATCGTGTAAAACTCTTAATTTTGTGTACATCAAATTCTCGAGATTTTTCAGATTTGAGAGCATGGAGTCGGTTAACAAATCGATTCACTCAGAAAAGATTCTTTAAAGAAAATCTGGAATGAAGTGTTGTATTAAACTTGCCAGCTACAGTAACAGTGGTGTCAAAAGAACCGGGAATTCTTCGCATCGGGCAAAGGTTTTTGTTTATGGAACTGAAAAATTGTGTTATCGCAAGAAATTTTCACGTCTTAGAAAAAGTATCCTAAAGTAGATATCAGTTCACTGGTTTTCACTCCACAGCGGCCGGTAATTTACGCAAATTCGAAAAATTGAGAAATTTTCGAGATGTAGGAACTAGTCTTTCTTTTCAAGACCATCCTGAGCAAACCGTCGGACACGTGAAGTGATTCTTCCAAGTGTTGCACGCAAGGCAGTTCACGAACAGATTGATAGAGTCGTCATGAATTATGGAACCATGTTTTCCAAGGCTTCCTTCGAAATTGTTTCCAATTTTCAAAAAATTAGTAATGAACTAACTTCCGACTAGTTGCATTTTCTGGACTGCCGATAAGCTTCCCAAAAAACATTTTCACTTCCACCTCAACATCCTCTTGGTTGCCGGCGTTTGCGATCAGTTGTCGTGTCATATCAGCCACCAGTTGTTCCACTTTTCTTGTTATGTTTTCATGCATCTGTAAAGTTGCCAGATGAATTCAGATCAGCTTCAAATCCCAGTCCTGTCTTAAATCCACTTTGTATTCAATATCTTCGAAACTGTACTTTCTGAGTGCGACCCGCATACTCAACCATCTTTCTGACAAATGAAATTACCTGACAAAAGTAAACTTTTTTCATATTTTCATTGATTTGACAGTAATCATTATGCAAAATTTCTACCATGCAGCATCGTTGGATGACGTGCATGACAGAAAGAGCCTCGATTGCTGCCTGTCACTCGCTGGTTTGTAGATTTCAATTTCAAATCAGTTTTTTGCCCTTTGGAAACAAAAAATTCAAGTATTTAAAAACTCGATATACTTCATCTCGAACTACCCCTCCGTAATTTCATATTAAAGCAGTGTGAGAAGTTGGAAAATATTAGTGCAGGAAAAACTGAAAAAAGTTTTTGATTTGTCGGGTTTGTTCTTAGGCATAGACGAATATTCTGAGAAGGTATTCTTCGGTTTAGGAGGAAGTTATTAATTCGCAGAGGATAGCAGGTTATAATAACGCAGGGGATAGTAGTACAATACTTATCGAAGAGAATAAAGGATACGATGTACGTTTCAGTCCTTGGTTGAGTGTTTGAAAAGGAAAATAATCCAGTTATAGCCTTGAGTATATATACAATTTTAATTAACACAATGAGCATATTTGGGGGTGTAGTTTGTAACAAACATTACATTAGATTTTCCTTTGGATAAAGAAAAACTGTCAAAATCCGATTACAACAAAAGGCTCTGTTTGCAACATTAAGCGTTGCAATTAAGATTGGTTCTTAGAAAAAGAAATTTAGTTTATGAATGTGATTTGTTCCATAAAAAAAAGGAAGGATGTGAACTTAGATAAAGATAACAAAGAAAAACGCATGAGACAATGAATTTGAGGAATGTAAAAATTGGTTGAATGATTCATGACATTGTTACAAAATTGTGTGATTGATTT